TGTACTTATATGAATTTTAATTGTGCTACATTAAACTGAAAAAAAAATGTTTTTAGAAAATTTATTCAAAGGACAATCTAGTTTCTACTTTTTTTTGCTTGAGTTTTCTTGATTTGTATATTCGCAAGATTGAAAAGATTTGTCAAAAAGACCTAAACTGTCTAAAAAAGACTTGAGATTTAAGTGGTCCAAGTGACCCCCCTCATTTCCTAGAAACCTTTTAGTTGTGCGTTATTCAAATCATCAAGACAAGTCATGAGGGATAAGTGGTACCAAGATGGAGGTCTTGGGTTCGAATCCTAAGAAATGCGTCAGAAAGCCGTAAGGGATAAGTGGGCATAGGCCCACCCAAAGTGGACAGTACGTATGATATGATAACTGTTGCGGCGCAAGGTCGGGTTGTTACAAAACTTGCCAAATTGGTACCAAAATTCAACTTAAGTATCATATATGATGGAGGTTTTGGGTTCGAATCTTGGGGGACGCGTCTGAAAGCCGTAAGGGATAAGTAGGCATAGTCCCATTCAAAGCGGACAGTACGTATGATATGATAACGACTTGGATATAGAGACCTGGGTCGTTACAAAAAATGCGCGTTTTTTTGTAACGACCCAACTTCGCGCCCGACTCGTCATCATATCGCACATACTGTCCGCTTTAGAAGAGTCCATGCCTATCTTACCCCTCACAACTTTTTGATGCGTCCCCCATAATTCGAACCCAACATCTCCATCATATGAGAGATTTAAATTGAATCCTGGTACTCCAAAATATAGTAGCAACACCCCTGGATAGCAATAAATTACTAAAAAATGAATATGGTACTCCAAAAGCAGACAACTTACAATTTCAAAGCCTAATTGGAAGTTTACTCTATCTCACAGTTACAAGGCTGGACATTATGTATGTAACCGATCTACTTTCAAGATTCGTGCAGAATCCAAGTCAAGTTCACTATGGAGCTGCAAAACAAATATTAAGATACCTCCAATGAATAAAAGACTATGAAATATGGTATCGATCTATGCCTGACTCAAGACTACGTAAATATACTAACAGCGATTCAGCAGGATCAGTAGATGATATGAAAAGCACATCAGGCTATGCATTCACACTTGGTTCATGAATATTTTCTTGGGCGTCAAAGAAACATGCAACAGTTACACAATAATCAGCTGAGGTAGAGTATATTGCAGCAGCAATGGCAGTGGGCTGCTATATAGCTAAAGCGCATACTTGAAGATATATGAGAGCCACAAGATAAAGCTACAGAAATTTATTGTGTCAGCAAGTCTGCAATAGCAATGGCCAATAATCTTGTATTTCATAGCAGAATCAAACACATTGGCATTCAGTATAACTTTATCAGGGAAGCAGAAGCAAAAAAAAAAAAAAAAAAGAGATAGAGCTCAAACATTGTAAGACTAAAGAACAATTAGCATATATATTTACGAAGGCCTTACCACGAGTAAGATTTGAATTAATGCGAGAAATGATTGGAGTTACCAAAATATACACCAAGGAGGAGTATTAAGTTTGCTGCATATTTGGATTTCTCTAAGATTCTCCAAATTTCTTAATGAGCAAACAAAACAAAACAAAATATATAAAATTGGAAATTTCTAGATATTCTTAGGAATTAAGTAAAATTAAATAATAGGAAAATATGATGATTCTACCGCCATTTTGCATTTATATATAGGTGGGTTGCTTCAATTGTAATGCGTGTGGAATTGAATAATATTTCCTTCCTCCAGCCATTGTATAAAATCTTCCTTCCATCAAGTTTGTAAAATTTCATTTTCAAAATAAATTATATTTTCCTTCTTCAATTATCTCGTCCAATTTAAAATCACTCTATACTATTTTTACTCTACAAAATATACTTCACATATACCACCAAATCTTTCCAATATAATTTACTTACTTCTCCTACCAACTATAAAATATCATCAAGTTATTTATTTTCATCTGCAATTTTCAATTTATCATACACGAGAGAAGATAAAATTTGTAAACTTTTTATTATTATTTTTTTCCCTTCTGGAAAATCAATGTGTCATAGGAAATGTGTTCTTTGGTTTATCGTAATCAGACTTTGCATTAGTTGTGAGGAGGAAAGAAAGAGATTTTTTTATTTATAATTTTTTAATAATTTATTTGCTACTCATTCGTACTTAAAAAAGGGACTATAGTTACAATTAATTTTTTATTTTTATTTTCTTTTATTTTATTTAAATATGAGGGTATATTTGTCATTTTACAACTTTTTATTGAGAAATTTGATGAAAATGATGTTTTGCGCAATCAGAAGTGTAATTAAGGGTAAAAATGCCAAAAAAGAAGATATATACATTTTCTACAATAACAGTGAAATGTAAGGATGTCACGCGCTAATTACCCTATATTTTATATAGTGTATTTTCCAAATATTGAAGAAAACCTTGAAAATCTTTTAAAGTATAGTAATCAGATTTGACTCGCTCGTCGACTCGAAGGGTGCGTGGTTCAATCGGTGACAAGGACGTAGCCATGATTTCAATTTGGGGGGATGGGGGGGCCAACATACGGGAGGTGGAGGGGAGCGGGCTCTCTCCCGGCCCCCAAAATTTTTTTAACTAAGAGGATTGAAAACGACAATTTTGAGTACCAAAATAGGCAAGTTAAGTTGACTGACCAAAAAGACAATCATTTTGTCGATACAAAAACAAACTTAACTGACCAAAAAGACAATCATTTTGTCGATACAAAAACAATATGTCCAACTATGTGTCTAACGCTATACAAATTGAAAACATGAACGTTAGATGGATCAAAAAGACAAAAAATAAACTGTCTATCTATATAACAGATGGTAGAGATGGCTTGGACATCTGAAATTGGTCTCTCATTTTCCTCATCACTTCAAACTCGTCAATAAGAGAATCTAATAGAAAAGTATCAACAATATCCTTCTCTATATACACAAGCATGGTACTGGACAAAAAATCATCTTCCATTCTATTACGCAATCTTGTCTTAATGACACCCATAGATGAAAATGCACATTCTGTAGTTGCTGTTGAATCTGAAAGAGTCAAGACAAGACGAATCAATCTATCAACAAGATTATAACTCATTGATTTTCTTGTCAATGCCAACAGTTGGCACACATATATTGGATCTGGACTATTTATTTATTTAAGCAACTATTGGATCTTTTGATTAGGTCTAAGATTTTTGTATGGTTGAAGTTTAAAGTGTAATTTATTGGGTCAATATTTATTAATGGAAAAAAAAATTTCAAAATTTTGCAGGGGCAAGTCAAATTTTGGGGGGGGCGAAACTGAAAAATACATTAAAAATTAACTAAGAATAGTGGACAAGCGGACAATGTTGGGGAGGTTGCCCCCCTGCCCCCCTATCTCCGTCTCTAATAGGTGAATCATTGTTACATTATAGTTTTAATTAATTCACATCTTAAAAATAAAAGGCAATGAATTTACTAAGTCTAAATATATATTTTGCTCGCATTCATTGCCAACGTTAGGCAAATTCCATAGCAATCAAGGTTGTGATATTTCATATTGGAAGACCAAGTTCAAATCTCTACAAGTGCAAATTGAATAAAAAAATTGCGATGGAAAATTTTGGTAACCAACTAGTTTACATTGAATAGGCTCCAAGTTCCTTTGATCTCGCCCACTCCGAACAATTCTTGATTGGCATAACAGTTCTTGACCGATTTCTTTGACAATTAATGCACTTGGATTGGACTACTATCTGATTCGTCGATTCTCGGGTCAAATCAATTAATCTGGTTTCAAGTTTACTATTATGACAAAAATAATAAAATGATTGGATTGTAATGGCTTCACATTTTGTTGACAAGCTTCTACTTTACCATTGAGATTTATTACGAATATTGACGTAATCCTTTAAAGTTATTAAATATACTTAATGCTTGTTTCATTCGCCCCCATTTCCATATCAATGTATCAAGACGAAATTTTTAACGCACATAACGGAACTTTTGTAGAAGTATATTACCCGACAAAACAATTACAGTCATACAACAACAAACGAAAAACAACGCAAAACTTTGCAACATAATGAAAGCACAATCGCGACAAAAGTAACATAAAACAGACAAAATTGATATGAATTCTCTTGTCAAACTTCCGATTTATCGTGGTATTTTTCTCCTAACACGACACTTATACGGTTAAATTATGCTTATATTATTCTCGGTCTTACGTGAATTCCAAAACTTTTCTTGCACGTGTAACTATTACCCTTTTGAAATGCGTACATTCACATTTAAAATAAGTAAATAAAAGTTTTATTTACATAATTATTTACCCTTTTAAAACCCAAAATAGACTCTCTATATTTAGCCCTAGATCAGGTCATGGGTTCTTTCCTCAAACCGTGTGAAGATATTTCGTAATGTAAAGCTAATATACAATATTGCATTTGCTTCTTTGACTTGATTCTTCTCTGAAGACTAAGTCTTGTAGTCTTCCATCGACTCAATGGATGGAGAGAAGCGCGCAAATAGAGCCGCGTGAATGTTTTTCCCAAATGGAAGCACTTAATTCTTCATTAATTTCAACAGCAATTTAGTTCTCGACACTACCATCTAGATCGATAATGAGAATGACTAGTGATGAATAGCAATATTCATGTTAAACAGGGGTTGCAAAAAGACTATTTTACCATCCATCTGATATCACAAATAGCGTGACTCAAAGAAAAGTACAAAAGCCCGGCCCAAATTTCTTCTAGCATGAAAGGTGTAAACATGAAGCTGCCACATAGAGCATTTTGCATGCATAAATCTAATATTATTAAGCCACGCAGTCTGCACATCCTCGTCACTCCCTTTATCTCTAGTTCTTTCACTTTCTCTCTCTATATGGCCACCTATATGTATATCCGTCACCTCTCTTCTTCCACACCCACCTCACTCTACCCTACCCTACTCCACTCCATCCCTCTCTTAGCATTCTTGATTCACAATGGGGATCAATGCTTGTACTGAGTTTCAGCGGCAACAAAAGTTCCATCAGTCGCACCAACTCAATGCCCACAAGAAAATGATAAGGGAAATACAAATCCCACCAAGAAAACTCCATCGCCGCCATTTAGCAGCGGCGCAGGCGCTTTATCACGACGGTGGTGGTGCCACATACATGTTCATGGATTCTTCCGATCAGAGCTCCCTTTCCAAAAAACACTTACCGTATAATGACGATGACGATGAGAAGAATCCTTTCACCTCGGACTATTTCAGAATGTACGAGTTCAAGGTTCGTATTCCTATGTCTCGTGCTTATTTATGTTTTTAATATTAATAAATATTTCACTCACGTGGTGGTTTGATTAAAAAGTATAGGTCCGTATGTGCCCGCAAGGCGGTAGCCACGACTGGACGAGCTGCCCCTTCGCACACCCTGGTGAGAAGGCCCGCCGTCGAGATCCTCGGAAGTATCATTACACCGGAACTATCTGCTCGGAGTTCCGCAAAGGCCATTGCAGGCGCGGTGAAAGCTGTGAATTTGCACATGGAATTTTTGAGTCTTGGCTTCATCCAACTCGTTATCGAACTGAGGCTTGCAAAGATGGCCGCTATTGTTACCGAAGGGTCTGTTTTTTCGCACATACTCCAAGCCAGATTCGCCTTTTGCCGGAGGAATATTCATCTCCGATGAATTCTCCGGTTACTCATGTGAATCATTGCTGTGGCTGCTGCCGTCATTCTAATAATACGATCTTGGCTTCTCATAACTCGACTTTGACTGGCGTTTCGCCGGAAAAAGAAAGGGAATTTCCACTCCTTTCTAGGTACAACGATTCATTTTATTAAACTTAAAGAATTTAGATATATAGTGTCAAATTCAAAAATTGTCTTCAACAGGTACGAAAGTTTCGAGTACTCCAATGCTCCGGCCGAGCTGAATTCTATCGGGACGAGCTACGCCGATAATCTAACTGATTTGCTGAACTCTTTAGAGGCAATGAAAGTCCACGAAACTTCTTCCTCAGCCAAGAAAGGAAAAGCGCCTATGATCGAACCTGATCTGAAGTGGATCAGTGACCTGATGGACTCCGTGGATTGAACAAGATTGATATAAATATTTCTGTATCTAAGATCTGACTTAATGTTGCTGTAAATTTTGAGCTCTGTGTGTGTGTGTATGAGAGAGAGAGAGAGAGAGGAGAAATTTGATGTAGTGATTTGTAATTCTCTCTCTTTCGTAGTATATGCATGTAATATTTGTAATTTCTTTCAATGAAGAAGTTTAATTAATTAATTAATTATGTCATTGCAAATCGTAATTCCAGCACGTGTTTCAATTATTTAGTTATAAATAAAATATAATTATATAAAAAAAATTCAATATATTATAGTTTGTGTATAGTTAAGATGCATATGAAGTAGAATAGTAATCATTTAAATAAAATAATGAAATATAAACATATATCTAATTATTCCACTAGCATTTAAATAAAGTTATGAATTTAAATCAATTTTAAAAATTTTATATATTTTTCAAGTTGGATAGAGAAAATTTTGCTATTTCTTTATTAATTAATAATTAACAACTAGTCCACGTTTGACAATTTTTCTTTGAGATTATAAACTAATCAAATTTCTTTTTTAAGTGCACATATCATTAGACCTACGATTTTATTTACTTTTTAACCGAATATTAATTGAAAAACAAACAATTTTATTTTACCAAATATATCCCTTTCAATCTCTTCCCAAATCGAGGGACTCTTTAAAAAGGATTATTTTGTCGTGACACCCATCGAATCTATAAAGGGAGTTAGAATCGATATCTTGTTGAACAATAAGTATTGCACGAGAGAAAACATAACATAAACTCCATTTTTAACGGTATGCATTGTGACACGTGCAAAACTGCTTTTTATTATAACTAAAGGTCGTTAATTTCTCGTAAATACTGGAAATCCATAATATAAAACTTGTTTTATTCAAGCAAAACATCAAAATTTGGACTCTTTAATATCAAGAATCCGGACAAACATACAATTTGACCAAAATCCTATTGTAAAAGATAAATCTAAAAATCACTATAACAAAAATTCTAATGGTTGAAAGAAATTCTATAATCACCACGTTAAAATAGTTGTAATGCACCTCAAAGGTCGCATTGTACATTTTCATGGCACACTTTACATTTCATATACGTGTTATTAAGGAGCTAAGCATTGCACCAGAGATCAATATACACCTGATATACTGATTTGTTGGTAGATGATAGGACACGATGAAGAAATGTGACTGATTAGATAAGCTATTGCATGCCCAAATGTGTGATTCTTATCGAGTAGGTGTCATCTTGTAAAGAGATGACGATACCTTTTCCTTTTTAATTAGAACACCATCCCATCGAAGTCTACACGTGCTTTCTAGGTCTCTAACGGATAAAATCTGCTAATTACAAGGCCTAATATTTTCCAAACATACGAAAAATATTTGATTATGAACTTTCCCTTTTCCATTACCATGATGTAATGTAACAATCCCTTAAATGACATGAATTTCAGCAAAATAGGGAATAGGAATAAAATAATTTAATGCAAATCAACACAATTCAAAAAATAAAAAATCATCAATGCAGGATATTCTAGGGTTTCAAGATATGAGACATTGACTTTTCTATTAATCAAACTAACGAACATAGTAGAAATGATTAACTTGTAACAATTTTTAAATTCGGTAACACAAGGAAAGAGATAAGTCTCAAAAATATGATGGATAAATAAGTATTTTTACACATTTGAACGGAATTTTTTGATGAAAACACTTAATAGAGATAAGATGTCCTAACTATTGGAAAGTCGAGGATATAAATTTGATAGAAAAAATTTAGGGGCATAAGTTTGACATTAAATAAAAATTAGAGACCTTCAATGAGATTAAAATGAGTTGTATTTATAGAAAATTGCAATGAAACCTTCAATATAGCCACCATTACGATTTAGTTTAAGAACGAACACTTTCATTTGATCAAAAATACCCCTTTTAATCTCTTCCCCTCTTTAAAGAGGTCACTTTGTCATGATTCGTGATGCAAACCCAACATTTATATGGGATTTGAAACGGTATTTTGTTGAAGGCGCTAAGCGTTGAACATGTATGATATGTTATATAGTGACCATATGTGAATTAGATGATATGACTTGTCCAACACAATCCAGCTTGCGACGGAGATCGATATACACTCCTATGCACCAATTTGTTGGTAGATGATTGGACACGACTAAGGAATATAACTAAAATGTACTCGTCAAATAGGTGAATTATATGTAGAGATGAAATTACCCTTTTTTATGTTGTATCTTCATATACAAATAAAAAATATACATACGAACAAATTTAAAATAATTTTTTGATAATTCAAAAGCTAATAGTATGTGTTCTAATTTTTTTTTACTTGAATATTTAATTTATATGCACTTTATTACAACTTCTAAACTAGGGATGGCAAAAAAACCCGACAAACCCGATACCCGCGGGGAC